AGAATGACTTTGGTAATTTTACCATCCTCAACATACATCTGACTTTTTTCACAATGGTATGATTCATTCTTTCAGCTATACCATTATATTGCAGTGTTCCAGGTTCTATCATCTCATGCCTGATCTAATGCTTTGAACAATACTCTTCAAAACTTTTAGATGTGTATTCCCTATCATTATCAGTTCAAATATACTTCAAGGGTAACCCTGTCATCCTTTCAACCATGATATGAAATTTTTAAAAATACTGCAGTACTTGACTTTTGTATTTTAACATATACACCTAAGTCTTACGTGAAGCATCATCAATAAAAGTAATAAAATATCTGCTATCACCTAATGATTCAACCTCAATGGGACCACATACGTCAGAATAAATTAATTTCAATCTATTTTCTTTTCTCTGAGAACTTTTACGAAAAGAAACTCTATGATGCTTACCAAACAAACAATAATCACATGAATCGAGAGACATACCTTTGGTCAAGGGAATAAGATACTGCCTTGCCAAAACCTGTAACCCTTTTTCACTCATGTGTGCCAGCCTCTTGTGCCATAAGTTTGCTGAAGCATTTTTTTTAACGGTATTTACCTGATTACCGTTCAATTGCATCCATGTCTTATACATTGTGCAGCATAGTTTTTCCCTTGCAACTATCATAGATCCTTTGAAAAGCTTTCACTGTCTATTCTTTTGTTAGCTTTCATATCCCTCCTTATCAAGGACATTAATAGCAAGCAAGTTCATTCTCATATCTGGAATGTGTCTGACATCCCTCAAAGTCAACATGCAGCCTGTTCTAGTTTGTACAACAATATCACTAATCCCAATAATCTACGACACACTCTTGTTTCCTATTTTGGTATAACCAAAGTCTCCTGTTTTGTAAGTTGTAAATAACTCTCTTTTAGGAACACAATGATATGTCGCTCCTGTGTCAACTATCCACTCAATGTCGAAATCACTAACATGATTATAATCATCATGTGTACAAATCAAAGTAACTAAATCACTATCTGAATTCACTGTTGTAGCATTGCCATCATCTGAACTATTGCCTTTCTCATTTTTTCGCTCTTGCTTCAAGATTTTATAGTTTCGTTTTATATGACCCGCCTTACCACAATAGAAACACTTCACTTTACCTCTGGACTTAGATCTATGTTTAGATTTATCACGACTTTTTGAGTCCTGACCTCTGTCGATATTTCTACCCCTGTTCTCTGTGACTAGAGCTTGATTCTCAGGGTCTACATCTTTTCGTCTTACTTTTTCATTAAGCATACTGTCCTTTACCATCTCCAATGTCACCTTATAATTAGGAGCTAAATTAAGAACAGTTACAACTAGAGTATTCCAACTGTCTGGCAATGAACCCAAAAGAAATAACGCTTTTATTTCATCATCCATCTTAAGCTTCATAGTAGTCATCCGATTAAATATATCTTAAAAATTATTCAAGTGCTCTGTAACAGATCATCCATCCCTGTACTGTAAAGTTGCAAGCTTTTTAACAAGCATAACTTTATTCATACATGTTTTTCTCTCATACAATGCTGTCAATTTTTTTCAAACAATGTGAGCTTCTGACTCCTGCATTATATGATGGAACACACTGATATCAACCCATTTTCTTATTGTAGCCAACGTTTTTCTACCTAGCTTCTTTCAGCTTTCATCTTTCATATCTGCTGGTTTAGTTGAATCACCCAATACTGGCTCATACAAATCTTTGCAGTATAGATGATCTTCCATCATAGGCTTCCAAATTGAATAATTCGATGCTTCAATTTTATCATGGAACCTGTATCACCTTTCATGATCTCAAATAGAATTTTTTTCTATCTTGGGTTGCTTATGTATCGATGTCTCAAAATAATCCTCGCTCTGATACCACTTGTTACGCTTGAAGCAATAATCACAACAATACAGAAGTAATAGACAACAATCAATAATCAAAGACTGAAGAAAAATAAAGCACACCAAGATTTATGTGAAAAGCCCTCCAGTGTAAAGGGAAAAAATCACGGACCACCAGAAAAATCTTCACTATCAAATAATAGGTACACAAAGTTCTTCTCTAGCTAAAACTAGAGCTAATCAACAACTAGAGAAACAATTGGAGAAATCTCACCAAATAAGTGACTTAACAAATATACCCTGGATTTGTTCCTAGAGAGCTTCAAACCCGATCTTCACCGTTCAGAATGTAGAACTCTGAATCATAAACCTCTTGACAAGGTTCCAACTCAATCAGACCACGGATCGACTTTCGTTCAACCAACTCTCCTTTCTTTTTTTTTTCTCTGCTTTTTTTTATTTTTTTATTTTTTTTACTTGGTTTTCGACACACACTTAAAACAACCCCACCTCTTTTTTATTAAGTAAGTAGAGCTCTGTGTAAAATGAAAGATCAAGGCCTATGGTCTTTACTTGATCCAAAACCACTTACATAGGACTGAATCCCATTTTTCTAACAGAGTATGTGTTCGACATTTTTTTACATTAATTTTGAAAATCAAAGTGTGTATGAATCACATTTGAAGGAAACATATGCGAGTGGTACCATTTAATTTCTGCAAAGAAATTAGCTTTTTTTTTTTTTTTTTGGCAGTTGGAAATAAATTACATAGCATTTTCTGGTGGATGTGATAGAAACTCATCGTATGGGCTCATTATAACTCTGGTCTCAGCTATCTCAGATGATGACAACGAAAGAACAAAATTCGTCTGAGCAAGAACAAGTTGAAAACTATCACAAGAAAACAACAATGCATATAAAAATCAATTTTGGCTCAGCTTTACTCAGTCAAGATTTATGATTTTTTTCAATGCTTCGTATTGGTTCTCTTGTTTTTACAGCTTTACCAGCATATATCATTTGTTTGTGCTGTCTTTTTCATTGATTTTTGGATGTTTGCTATGGTCTGGTAGTTCATTGTATCCAACCTGCAAACTACCAGCCACTCCTTTATCAATGGATTTATAAATCCAGAAATTGCATTATGACTGAAAAATCTGTCACAATAATGGCTTATGTCCGTCTCAATATAAAGAAAAATTGTGATGAAAATTTTCTATTGCGGATATCCTCTCATTACTGATGATCTGTTACAGTTTTTTATCCAATTCTGTCACAAATTTAGCCACTGAGAGAGCCAATTCAACGCAGCGATCAGATGTGTATACGTGTGTTTCTTCATATACAGTAGCAAACAGAGTTTGTACATTCATATACTGATTTTGAGCCAAGACAAACATAGCACATAATTATGAATCGTTTGCTGTAAATCAACTATAGTGGCTTTGACACCCAGTCTCCAGTTGAGTCCATTCTGCAAATCAGTGCTGTTACCATTTATTTTTTTGAAAGAAAAATGGGATTTCATTCCCATCCAGCATTGGAAATAATCACGATCCCTGAAGGGAGCACATGGACAGGTTCTACGCATTAAACATGATTCAAACATAAAGGCCATGGTGTCAGTGATCTTGTGGGATCGATCCTGCATCATTTCCGGGAGCAACGGCCTGCAAGTGAAAAGAGTTGTCAAAACGGACCGTTGATCCAAAAGTAGGCAGTTCGATAGAAGAATAGAGGGCTAGAGGGGCTAGTCAGCTAATTACAGCTTGCAATCTTGAAGTTGTGCTCGAGATGTTTACCTCATATGTCCTGGTATCTTTGAAGAGTAGTACCACAAGGCAGAAACCTTTCAGCTTTTGCCTGAAACCAACACATCATAGAAAATTTAGAATTTGAAGGCTGAATTAAAGTCTTCCCATATGCTGGTGCAGGAACTAGTTCCGAGTTTACAAAAGCAAGCCAAAACATAAGAAGAAAATGTCTCTACCAGCATTCAGATATCCTTTGGATACAAACCCATATATCCAAATGTATTAATGAAGAAAAACATAACAGATGCAAGAAAACCGCATTGCACAAAATCATACTCCTTCAAGAGTTATCCATATTGTAGAGTGCTCGGTTCACAATTCCTGTAATCAGGGATCAAATCCTGATAATATTTGACAAATATTATAGTCAAACTATACCAACCAAAAGGACAAACAGCCAAAAAGAATGTTACAGGAATCACCTCATATCCACCATATATTAGGCACATAAATTCACTCGTGCAATTACGATGGTAATATGCAGGTCGGGATGTATGTTCAGCCACGCACCAACCAGGGGGAAATGACAAAATCAAGCAATGCCACACCTGGTTTATCATTTGGTGCTATAAGAACTGCGACATTGTCACTCATATCAAGCTAAGAGAATTAAATACAAGCACAATTGAACAATAAAAATCATGTCTTTAGAGGAAAAACAACACATGAAGACAGAGTCCATGTACTTAACTGTATTTATTGATGCATCCCATGACTGTAGTGGCAGATCCAAAATTTTTTCTTGAGGCGTCTATTTAGTGGATGTCTATTGAGTGCTAGATCTTGGTTGGTTATAAGTTGTAATTAGATATTGAATAATGATCGTGAATGGAGTAATTAGAGAATTAAGATATATTTAGAGAAAATTTGTGAGGATGTCAAAAAATAAATTTGGGTGTCAGAGACAAAATTTTCTCTAAATTTTTTTTTTTTTTTTCAACTTTTAAAATGTGCATGGAGACCCTAACTAACTATTTGCATCGGCCATTGCAAGACCAACTAAAACAGCGTTGTAAGGGCAGAATCTGCTAAGATGATACTGAAAGCAATAAGATTTTGATTTAAATCAGATCACCAAATTTTGTCATAATCAAAATCTTTTTCGTTTTTGAATTTGCCTGCTGTTAAAAAGAATTTGGTTGATAATTGTTCAATAAATAATAGGTTTTTAACAAATTGACAAATTTATGTGAAATTAAGATATATAATTTTGAAAAGTTCTTTTTTTTTTTTAATTTCCAACATGTATTATTTATTATGTAAATTTGCTACTATTAATTATTATTAAAATTTATTATTAATTTTCATCATTTATTAACAAATAAACATAAGTTGGGTTTTGGCGGCATGCTTGTCTTGCCCTTTTCGGTTTCCGCCTCCACATCACGACAGCGAAAACTCCTCTGTTGATCGCCGCTTTAAACCGTAGCCAAAGACGGAACTTTGGGTTGTTTTCTTATACCATTGCTAAAGCAAAGCAAGACCCAGAGAACAAAAATGGAGAAACTTGGAGCTAGTTCAGAAAAACCCAAGACCCATAAACGAAAGCTAGACAAAAGGGTGATACTATCATTGACGAAGCCTTCTTTTCTTTTAACACTGGGAAGAGTCCATATTCGATGGGAAAATCGACAAAAGCTGTGTTATCTGTTAGAGAAACTTGTAAAGCAACATAATTGGGCTGAGGCAAGTGGGATTTTAAGCTTGTTGCTTAAGGGTACTTCGAATGCTTGTTCTGCTGATTTGAATCGCCTCAAGTATTCGGTATGGTTGAATTTTTTTTGAGTTTCCTATGCATTTATTTGGTTGTTATCATGTTAAAGTCATGATCTTTGGTTATGTTTGAGTCTTTAGAAAATTCTGTTAGTATCTGTTTTTATGTTTAGGGTTGATTTGGTTGTTGCTTTTACTGCTTGCTTTTCACAGAACAATAGGGGGAAATGTATTGAAATTGAGTGAGCAGATATGATTTAAGTTTAATTTTAAAAATTTTAACCTTTTTTTATGACTATTATGTTATAGAATGAGTGTAGCATTTTTGTTATTTTGTTTATTTCGGCTATATAGAAATATTAATGAAGCAAAAGAGCAATCAGTGACCAGGACAGCTTTAGTTATTGAATTATTTTGTGCTATTTTTTGTTATTTTCATGTCTTTGACATTATTCTAGTTCAATTATTTGCATATGTTCCCTTTATTGGTACAATCTTGATATGTTTTTGTGTTTTAGGCTTATGCATAATATGTATTATCCGCTTCATATGTCAAAGTTATTTGTAAATTTGTTGTAAGAAGGCCCGAAGTAGTGCCTCATGAGAGAGCATATGGGTAGGGGAAAGACTTTACACGAAAGAGTAGCAGTTGATATTTTCTCATGAACTTCGAAAATTAGGCTAATAGCAGCAGAAAACAGATGCATTTATTGATTATATTATTGCATGCTAGTACAGCATGATTTTGTGCTTTGTATGTTTGCTTTTTGGGTATCTAGTTGAGGATAAAACTAATGATGTGTGTAAGTGATATTTTTAGGTTTCAATTAGGCTTCTTAAACACATCGAGGGGGGTCATGTTGACATAAGAAGGATCAGGGACATCTATGAGATTTGGATGAGCAGGATCAGGTCCAAGACCGTGCAAGTAGAGGTATAGTTTGACATCACTTTTATTTGGTCTGCATGCTACCCGTTTTTAAACATAGATCTTTTCTGGTTGAACAGGAGCAGATTGCACTTCATTTGGAGTTCATGCTTTTCTGCCTTACACATGGGAATCTTGGGTGGGCTCATCAAGCTGCTTTAAGGTTATCTTTCTTACATAATTGTGCATAAGCATTTGGGGTTGATATAGAAGCATTATCATATGCTGTGCCTATTATCACCTAATTGCCAATCATTGTACGTTGCACACATTGTTATCCATCACACAAAATTAGGAAGCTAGTAACAATCTTGTTGGCAAAAGAATTCCCTCAACTCTAACTGTCAAGAAAGAGTTGGGCGCAATGATTGTAAGCTTGCTCTTGAACGTTCACATCTAATTGGATATTTTAAATCTATTGTCTTTTAGTCATACTTAGATAGCGCTTAGCTTTTGATTTAGGTTTACCTTACCTTTAATCACTTAACTTTGACCTGAAAGATATTTCCAGATCTTTGTGAGGATAGTTTCAAATTTTGGTTGGTTTGTGTAGCAAAGAAAATTTCTGATTCAATTTGAAACCCATGTGTCCTAAATTTTGGTTAGAGTTCCATGTTGGTTAGTTTCTTATGTGGTGTGATAATAATGCTGGAATATGTTCACAGTAGCATCATTAATGTATTTATACATAAGTTTTGTAATGATTGTCATATGAAAATAAAGGTGTATTGTCTTTGGAATATAATACATGAATATATTCAGTGTTTGATTGACTTTTATGAAAATTTCCTCCCTCAGCTTGATGAAAGAACATGACTTTAGTTGCCACCCAATGTCAAATTTGGTCATGGGCTTGACGTTTTGTCAGCTTTGGTATTCCAATCTCACTGAAGAGGTTAAGATGAGAGATTCAAACCAGGATTACTTCCCTCAGCAATCAGACACTTCAGGATCAAAATTTAGCAACCAAATTGTTAGCACAGAGGAAAATTCTGCAGCTTATACTCTTGATGCTGTTACCTCTCAATATAATTCAGAGACATCTGTCATGAAAGATAAAAGAAAAACTCTGGTGGCTGATAGCCAGCTACACAGAGAAGTTCCTGTTCAGAATGATGTTAATCTACAGAGTGCACATCTCCCACAAGAGGTTGAGCCGCTGGGCTCCTACCAGAACTCTGCTGAAAATGAAGCTGGTTTTTATAATGACAGTGGCTATACATGTGATCCTTCAGTTTTCTCTGCCCTTGGTGAGTTCTGAATGCTCTATATGTTTTTTTAACTGTCATTATAATACAAGTCTTTACTTTTGGTATTCTTCTTTAGACTTTGCAGTGAGATATCGAGCACATGTTGCCTGTGCATGCACATCCAATGTATATTTTGGATAACAAATAGTCTTTAGATCATGTTTGGTGCATAGAATGATGGACAATGTTTGGTGCATAGGATGATAGATTGGATAGTATGATAATGATTCTATATTATGTTTGGTTTGTATCTAATTGAAAGGGATAGGATTACAAGGAGGATTATCATCCTCTTGGTATAGGATGATTCAATCCTCCCAAAGTGGAGAGGATTATTTTTAATTTATGGGATAAACTTACATGTCCTATTATATTCTGAAAAATTATATCAATAATTTAAATTGTATAAACTTTGAAAAAGGATAATTTTGATCAATAAATAAGTTATTCTATCTTAATCTTTGAACATATCAAACATGAGATAGGATGACATTATTGAATCTAATTATATTCATAATATCATATGATCCTATCCTATCATAATCTTGTGTACCAAACATGACCTTAGTGCTTCATAACAGATTATTCTTCCCTTTTTTATTTGTGTAAGTAATTGATAATTCCATTCAATTGTCGATCAAATGGGAAATATGGTAGAGATCCAAAAAAAGGGGAAAATTGGACAGGAAGACTAGGTGCTTGGAATCAAAGGAAGAATATAGAACATGAGTGAGAGAAATAAAGATCCAGCTAATACCAATCTCAAAAACATGGATATGCATCTGAGATGGTAAAATGTTCTTTTGCTGAAGTGTAGGAGATAACCTTCCTATCTTCCTCATCCCTTCTATTGTCTTGCTTTATATATTACTGTTTTGGATATTCATCCTTCCTGGTAGAAGGATGGTTAACATCCACTAACATGGATACTCCAATTTAATTGTATATATGTCAAATGCCAAGTGACAATTTTTTGACAGGCTGAAGAACATCTTTGCAATTATGAATTTTTTGGATGCGTTTTATGATTTTTTTACAAATTTTCTATAATGGTATCCTTATGAGATTTTTTGGCTTTGATAATTAATATTGTTTCATGATCCTATCCAATGCCTATGGCTTACTGAAATTTCTCACCTTTCTTGTTTCAGAGGGTCTAGAGTCATGGTTGATGCCTTTCCAGTTGCCACATTCTAGTGAAAACTTTGCATATTTGCATAGACAAATGCTTAATAATCATTATAATGATGCTGTGAAGTATCTCCGCCTTGCTTTTCACTCTGTACCCCCTTTATCAGCAGCCTTGCTTCCTTTGGTGCAGGTAAAATTTTGTTTTCCTTACAACTTTTTTTAATGCTTTTGGAATATCTTAATCATTAGCTGGAGCATCCTAGAGATTCAGATATATACTAGTCAAAATACAAAATGGAATCTGTAGAATATTATTGTAGAGAGTTTTAAAACCTTTATGCAGAAGTTATTCAATCTTACTGATTCAAATGTGATTTTTTTTTGTCCATTTTATGCCAGTTGTTGCTGATTGCAGGGCAAGTGAATGAGGCCCTAAGTGAAGTCAAAAAGTTCTGTAACAATTCAAACATGCCCTTTCCATTTAGGTACTGACCTCCCAAATAAGTTTGTTTTCCCCCTTTTTTCCCTGGTTGCGAAGAAGTGAATTCAAATTGGAAAATATAATCCCAAAGTTACTATATTTCATTTGAGCTTAATTCAGTTAACTTGAGAATAACAGAGAAGTAATATGAACAATTAGTGACCAGAAGACTCACCTAATGATTATAATTCAGGTATTTATTGTGACTGTTAATTCTGGTAATAATCGTGTAGGGGAAATATTATATCTGAGGCTTAGAAGTTTTCCTTCAGTAGAACAGGCTTGTTATATTAACTGTTTTCTACATGCTCCCCTGGAATCTGTACTTCCAGGAATACTTTCTAAATATCATGGAGAAGATTTAATTGTACCTGCAACTTGCTAATGTTTCCAATTGGTCCTCTTGTTAGCTTTACAAAACACTGATGTGCTGATTTTCTGCAGATTAAAGGCTAGTCTTTTAGAGTATTTTTATTCTAATGACTCTGTCGTGCTCTCTAACTGTTTCGAGGAGATTTTGAAGAAGGATCCAACATGCAGCCACTCATTGGCAAGGCTTGTCAGCATTCATCAAAATGGTATATTATCAATTATCTTGCGTAGGTAGACCAGTGCTCACTTCATCTGGCATTTGTTTCCATGCAGTGACTCTATCCCTTGTTGGGACACATGGCCGCCACCATGGCCCATCCTTCTCCTCTTCCTCTTTTGATCTGCTTTCTCAATACTTGAACTTGGATTTTGACAATTGATACCTTCTCTCTCTCTTAATCATCAATGTTCTTGTATACATAACTCGGGTTTTGGTATTCTTTTCAGGGGATTATAGTCTGGAATCCCTCATGGAGATGATTGCTTTGCATTTGGAAGCTACCTATCCGGAGTCCAATATATGGAGGGAGTTTGCCTCATGCTTCCTCAAACTATATCAATACGAAGAGGATCGATTGTCAGTATGTCTCAATGGGAACAAAGGTGAACAAAAAGCAAACCTCTCTGTTCAATACAAAAGGATGCCAAAAATATTTACCGAGGGAAAATCAAGAAATGCTTGGAGGCTATGCTGCAAATGGTGGTTAAAACGTCACTTTGGCAAGAAAATGCTTGAGTCAGAAATTGCTTCAGGTGTGTTACCATTTCCCATCATAGAATGTCTGCACCGATGTGCTTAATTCTTACTATCTCAGGTCTCATTGGAATTTGAACCCCATGTTGATTGAAACAACTATTGACATTATAGTTTGTCATGCTTTTAATTGCTATTATTTGCATGGTTGAAACCTTCAAGTCTGCTCCTTCCGAAAAACTGGTTAACCTGGTTAAATTGATTATCGCGTATCACATCATTGTCAAGCTTCACATGGTCATTCTCTATGTTGCATCTTTCATATTTAACTATACATCTCGCAAAGAAACCCACGTGCTTCATGATCCTTTTCTTTTTTTCTTCCTTTTCACTTCCACTAAGATGAATTAGCTTGGCAAGATTGGTTAATTCAATTTTTGTTGTTCTTGCTTGGAACAGGGGTCTTGGAGCTTTTAACATACAAAGCAGCATGCGCATCCCATTTGTATGGTCAAGAGTTCAACTATGTTGTAAAGGTATATGCTCATTTACAGGAACAAAATGATAGGGACCTACTCAAATTCCTAAAAATACATATGGAAAATTCTGTCAGATTAAATTTGAAATTTCAAGAGAAATAAATAAGATATAATTTTCATTTAAGAATTGTCTGTTTCGTTCAGTTCTTCTTAGCTCATTATATTAATGGTGAAGGAAAGTGGCATTGTAAATTGTTCATGCTTTTAGGACAATGTTAAAACATCATGAAACACAACCAGTACAAACATGGAATGACAGAAGGAATGTGAAGTAAAAAGAACAAATATTTGATGTTTCCGGTCAAGAATCATTTGGATTGTTTTGTTTTTCGGATTTATTAACATTTTCCCATACTTTAAATCCTCGAGAATTTTCCTTCAATCTGTTCCAACCTTTTTCCCCATCAAATTTCACCATTACAGATCAACTTTGATTCTTCCCAAAGCCTGCCGAGTTAACTCTGATTGACAATTTAAATATGATACAATAATATAATCAGATATAACAAAAATAATATACAATATAATGATATGACACGATATTAACATAAATATATGAAAAAAAGCGTAATTTAAAATTAAAAAAAATTATGAATTTAATAAAAATGAAAAAATATATTTTTTATATTTAATGTTATCAATGAGACGGATCGACGACTATTCAAGTTTAATTGGCCCAATAAGTCAAAATTGGCCCGATCATCACATCCAATTGCCTGACCCGACATGAGTCCGACGCGTTACCCCTTGCCCAATCTAACCCCCCATTCTGTTTTTTGCAATTTCAAAATCTCTCTCTAATGCCACTGATATCTGCCATTAGATAAAATTTCCTCAAAAATCTAATTAAAAAAAAATCGATAAAAGAACCGGACCCGGTGACCCGAGATGGCGGCGTACAGAGCAGACGACGACTACGATTATTTGTTTAAGGTGGTGTTGATCGGAGATTCGGGTGTTGGAAAATCCAATTTGTTGTCTAGATTTACGAGGAACGAGTTTAGCCTTGAATCCAAGTCCACAATCGGAGTCGAATTCGCCACCCGAAGTATTCGGGTCGATGATAAGATCGTTAAGGCGCAGATTTGGGACACCGCTGGACAAGAAAGGTGAATTTTAAAACTTATTTTCTATTTTGTACCATCACTCTTATTTCTCTTTTATTTTGTTTTCTGTTGGTTTTTCTTAGTTTTAAGGGTTTTGGAATTTTGAGAGATTTGAGGTAAATGAGGTGTTTTCCGTGTTAGTGCATTGGATTAGTAGAATGGGTATTTGGAATTTTGGATTTTGGGGGCTGTTTGTTTGCTGAGAAAATGTAGGAAAATTACATTCAAATAGTTCTCTCATATTCTCATTTTTGTGTGTTTTGTTCAATTTTTAAGGGGTTTTTGGACTTTCTGGTATTTTTGGTTTTTTTAGAGATTTGGGGAAAAAAAAAGGTGTTGCTTACATTAGTGTATTGCTTTGGTGAAAAGGGTATTAGGAATTTTGTGTTTTTTGGGAGGGTTGTTTGGCTGCTGAGAAAATGTGGGAATAAGTTGCATTCATATTTTTCTTTTTAATTTTAAAGCATGTGGACCTGGATTTTAGTTATTTGGTGAAAAATAGTTTTCTTTTTAGATTGGTGTATTGATTTAAGCATATGTGAAAGCCAATTTTCTTGATTAGCATGTTGCAAATTCGATTTGGTTTAGAAATTAACATGTATTAGATTATTTACAAAATCCCACGGTTGGTTTATGAATGGATGCGCCGCAAAGGAAATTAGAGATGGGCCTAACTCATTAATGTTACAACTTGATCCATTAATGAAAAAGTGGAATAAAGCTACTTCTCTTAAATGTCCTAGTTGATTCATCAATCTATATTTTTAAGCATCTTTAGAATATAGGTTTGTTGAAGATGATATCCTTTTATATAAATGGAAATATATAAATGATTTTCTACCATCATTTTAGTTTTGAATACCTTAATCACACTTTATCCTATAAATAGAGATGTTTTCTAAGCTTTTTGAGAGTTAGATTTCTTGTTATATTCTTTTCAAAGATACCGGGCAATTACAAGTGCATACTACCGAGGAGCTGTTGGTGCATTGCTTGTCTATGATGTCACTCGACATGTTACATTTGAGAATGTTGAGAGATGGCTGAAGGAACTACGTGATCACACAGATTCCAATATTGTGATTATGCTTGTTGGTAACAAGGCAGACCTGCGACACTTGCGCGCTGTTTCCACAGAGGATGCTAAGGCTTTTCGCTGAGAGAGAAAATACCTTCTTTATGGAGACATCTGCCCTTGAGTCCATGAATGTTGAGAATGCATTCACTGAGGTGCTAACTCAAATATATCGTGTGGTCAGTCGAAAGGCTCTTGAAGTAGGGGATGATCCTGCAGCATTGCCTAAGGGACAAACCATCAATGTTGGAACCAAGGATGATGTTTCAGCCATCAAGAAAGTTGGCTGCTGTTCTGCTTAAATGTTAGGTGATTTGGGGTGTACAAGTTTCGTCTATTTTTCATCTCTTTAAGCACAAGACATTCCCCATTATGTTATGGTCCTTGACCTTCCCCAAGATTTGAGGTTGAAGTTAAAGAAAACACAGCATCTTCCAAGTTTCCTTCATTTGATTTCAGTTGCATTTTCATGGTTCTTTTAGGTTTTTTTTCTTCATGTAACGTTCCATTTCACAGTTTTTATAGTTGTTGTATTTGATTGCTTTAGAATACATAGAGTTTTGTATTTTCAAATGATTTTGATCAGTTGTGGATGATAGCATTTGAATTATAGGAATTCCTTCACAGGTTCCTTTGGATTTAGTTGGAGTGTGTTGTAATTAGTATACAAATTGGAAAGCAATTTAGATACTTGGAGGATTTTTGAGTGTTGAAGATGAAATAATTGAAATAAAAAACTTTTAAAAAAGGAAAAATATTTTGAATTTGCATATATCTCAAAGTATACAAAGATATGTAAAAGTATCTGACAGAACAGCTTACAAAATATGTTGCTTTAGGGGATTTAAAGATTTTAGGGTTTAGGGTTTCCAAACTAAAATTAACATATATCAGGAAATATAACACATTAAACAGAAAAACTAAAGAAAAGAAAAAAAATAATGAAAAACACATTATAGCTGAAAGTTGATAATACAGCATGAGACTGCATAATGAGAGTCTGTACAATTGTTGTTAATTACAGAGCCAACAAATAAATGATTGACAGTCTGTTAGATATCTGCAAGTTCATGTACAAAATACTTGGACAATACCAGTTTAGTTATGGTAAACAGATTAGTCATTAGAGGAAAGCTTCCTCTAACTGATTCTGCCACCATCAACCATTTATGTAATTTATTACTTTAGCTGGAATAAGTCACCCCATGTGTTATACATCCTTGGACACTGTGGCTAATGCCTCAGTTTTGCAGATGGGGCATACATTCTTGACGAACAGCCATTTTCTTAAGCAACCTGCATGATACTCGTGTCCGCAATCAAGAGTTCCGATTTTCTCTTCATTCTTATAATCCTCCTGGCAAAATTCCAGGAGAAATAGCAGATTCCATATGTTAGGAGTGAATTGTGACGGGTGATGAAAAAGCGTGCTTCAAACCTGAACAAAGAGATGGGTAGTTTAAGCTCTTCAACAAATAATATTACCTGGCAAATAATGCAAGAATCAGGTTCTTGATCAATGGGTGCCGCCTCTTTCAGATTAATATTAGTTGCGAATGTTGAATAAGTTCTTGTTTTCAATTTACTCATAACGGTTTCCTCTGACAAGCCAGTGTTCACGTTGCCAATCCGCTCTCCGAGTGCAAGTAGCTCCTGTGGTCATTTGGAAAATTTTCCAGTAATCGGTCAGTAAAAATAAGATCAAACCATGAAAGACAAAACGACATTAATGAACTTTAACTTACCTCATAAGACATATCCTCTATATCCAAGCGCATATCCCTGTGATGATCAATAAAATTCCCTACTTCTTCATAAAACTCTGGGAACTCCAGCACAGCAACTCCCTGCACCAAATCAGCTAAAAAATATCAACGTATTTATAAACCAAAAAATAACCAAAAAGAGTCAGCTATATATTAATTCCATTTTCCTAGTTTCAGAAAAGAAAACAAACAGTAAATGATCAGAAATAACATTGCAGAAGTGAAAATTAGGTAATTACATCAGGTGGAAGAACTCTCAGGTGAGGAAGATTGCGATGTCTCAGAGTCGTCTCAGGTACAACAACCTCTCGGCGAGAATGATATATCCTAAATCCAGTAGGTGGAAATGGTCCCAGATGCCTACGACCCATCTCCAAACTATCCTGTGAAGGATTCATGGTGCTCTGTGAGGCATAATTTGCAGGAAAGTGATATGGAACTGCTGCTAATTGTGGATGAACATTAATGCTGTGGCCTCTTACTCCTTCAATAGGTGGTGCAGGGTGATGGTAGTTATGGTTCCGAAGGTCAAGGGGAGAAGAATGTGAAAAGTTTGTGGAACTTCTATGCCTAGTCTCCATAGGTCCACCAATATTGCTACCTGCACAAACACAAGTTAGTGAAGTTTCCAAAGGCAACCAGCTTAAAGGTAAACGACATCAATTACATGGAAGCTGATTTAAAAAAAAAAAGAAATATATTTTTAAAAAATTGTTTAAGAAAAATTGAAATTCCTAACAAGGAGTTATATTAAATAGACAAGAACAACCTCAGAGGAAAGAATAGAAGGATGGGGAAACTACCATGCATAAAAGGAACACCAGGAGCCTGAGTCCAAGCAGGGGCACCTCCATTGGTTATTGTTGGATGAAAGGGCTGGCCCATGTAATTTCCTTGAAAAAATTGGTTAGTACTATGCATCAAAACAGGATCCACTGCAGTTGCCCCTAATCTGTTCCTCATACTTCTTTGAGATCCTGCATCTCTAATTGGTGGAGGGCCATTCCCTCTATACTGAGGAATGGTGAAGGATGCAGCATCTGCCGTGCCAACCCCATCAGGATGCCTAGAATTTAATTGCGAAACTGAGGAACTAGAGCTTGATGAGGCATTAAAATGCTGAAAATTTCCTGGGATCCCTTCAGAATTCTTTCTCTTATACAAGCCTCTAGCATTATCCATGAAGTGGCAATTCCTTGCATATTCACCTGCAGAAACTCCAAGGAGACTGCAGTTGCCAGAAGATGGCATCTGGTCTGTAGGTCCATGATTTACAGGAACACCAGACGAATGGGTAGCCACATTGGGAATGTAAAAGTTGGATGCACTTCCAATACCAAGATCAAGATTTGGGGAATAACGATGCTGAACACCAGGGTATTGGGGCATCCCAAAGAACATAGAGCTTTCATAATGCTCTGGTAAGGGATGAGGATCAAGACTAGTTGTGTTCCCTGGAGCTGTGACCGCCATCTGGATATCAGGTGGCGGGTAGTTTGTTATGCCACCCAAAAAGATGCAGGGTTCATGATGGAGATATCCCTGGCCTTGCTGATCCATTTCTAAATCAATCATCTGACTAGGGCATTGCATATTTCTTTGGCCCATGCTGTTCCGATAAATTGTTGCTGCAATTTGTCCCTGCTTCAAAGTCAAAGAATAAGAAAACAACTCAACCCAGTTCAGAATTATAAACGATAATATATGTTGACATCTAATATACCGAAGAAAAGAAAATTGATAACTGGCCACCATGCATTTGTCCATTTCCTAAAACATAAAAATACAAAATGAAGCTTGAAAAATATCAACAAAGCCAAAAGTTTTGAATCATCAGAAGAAACATGACGAAATGAAGCGTTGGAAAATATTCAACCCACAACTGAAATTGGAATAGTATCTCATTTATCCAACTTAAGAGCTGAAATACAAGACATGGAAAGCATTACATGCTAATAACACCTTCTCATCTATTCATTTGGATGCTCCTATTTCACTAGAAACATAAAGCATTTCCTTCCAGCAAGTATATCAAGAATATAAAAAAAATCCACTTTTTACATTGCAGCACTCGCAAACCAAAAAAGGGTTAATATAGCATCCAGGACAATGGCATAGATCTCCTAAAACATGGAAATCCTCTAGCTCTCTTAGCTATTAGATTTTCCACTAGTTTAACCTAGCCAAAAAAAAAAAAAAAGACTTGCACAAATGAAGTAAAAACTAATTTTCCACTACTGAAACAGAGACTCAAAATGATTAAAATCCGCAGAAACAAGCGTTCCCTTAAAACAAAAAGTTTCTTTGACATCTTCTCAACTGTCAAAAGTTCCAAACTAATCTTCCAATACATAATATCATACATCTCCTTCCTTCTTGTCATCAACCACACAATAAAACACCATCAACATGACCTAAACTTTAATTTTCTCTTAAAAATAAACGCAAAAAAATAAAATAAAATTCTTGACTACCAAAATTGGCATAAAATAATAACCCATCATCAAAAACCCTCAATCAACATAATCTCCTATATCAAGCAACGTGAAGGGGAAACTTCCAATATTAAACATGCTGATCAGAAAAATCATAATCATTGGTTAAATTAACCAAAACAAAAAAAAGATTTCAACTTTTTATTCATAATTATCCTCAATCCTAAAGGGCTCCTCCTTTTATTAGAACTTTGAAGAAACCAAAAAACAAAACAAAACAAAAAGTTTGAAAAAAAAAAAGAACGTTCTTAAAATAAGTCTAAATTTCACACAAATTTGTCAACAATTATCAACCAAAATTTGTTACCAGCATGCAAATTCACAAAAGGAGGAGGAGCAAGAGAAGGAGAAAGGAGAAGAAATGGGTTTCTTTGCCGTACCTTATAATCATGAAAATATCACAGCCCAGAAAGAGAACACCAGCTTATCTTAAAGAAACCCTAAAAGAACCCAAAGAAAAAAAAAATCAAAACTTGTTGTTAGTTAAACACGCATTAATCAAAATTCAGACAATGTAGAACCCTAGGGATTCAAAGCTTAACCGTCCAATTAAAAATCTTGAAAAAAAATTTAAAAATTAGAAAAAAAAAAAAAAGAGACAGAGACTAACCGAATTGAAGCGAAATGAGGGAAAGAAAAAGAATGGAAGAATCTAGAGATCTGAAAGACAATATTATTTAGAACAAAAATACGGAGAAAAAATAACGAAGAGAGAGAGAAATTTGAGAGAAAGAGACAGACATATTTCTACTTTTATAAACAGGAGCTCTCTGTTTTTTTTTTTTTTTTACCTCCACATTAAAATATATGTAATAATTTTTTTTTATTATCATTATCAATGCATCATAGATTTTTTTTTTTAAGGTAATTTATTGTGAAAAAAAAAATTAAGGCCATACATAAAGTTCCTGCAAGTCACATGACCATCAAAGAAATTAGAGAAGGAACTTTGGTTAGTCATACGTGTATTCCTCACCATTTGTTTTAACTAAGGTTTGCTGGTGGTTATATAATTATCAATGTTAAATCCTAGTTAATAGTGGCGAGAAAAAGATCAAAAAATAAAAAATTGATTACAAGTTATAATGTTGAATTTGTTTTGGATTGATTTTTTTTTTATTTGGTTAAGATTAAAATTTTATATTAGATGCATATACAAAGTTTAGATAAAAATAAAAATAAAAAATCAATCGAATTCATATTTTTATTAATTTTTATATATTTAAATTTTTATAAAATAAAATAATTATTCTATATCTAAATTTATTTAAATATATTAAAAATTATATTAAAATTATATAAAAAAGTTAAATTTCAAAAACCAATTAATTAAATCAAACTATTAAAAATTAATTTTAATCATGTTAGTTTCAAGAAAAGATCAATTCAACTTTTAAAATAATGCTATATATTATTTAAAAAAATCAAATTGACTCTAATCTAAACCATTATTATCCTTATTAACTAATTGTCTTTATGTTCAATGAAGTCCATGCTCTATGCCAAATTTAAATCCCAAGATTTATCTTTTTTTTTTTTTACAAAGAAATATATCATTTCGAATAGGATAAAGAATTGTAAATATTAAAATTTAAATCTTAAATTTGTTAGATATTATCTGATAAAATAATTACATGAATCAATTGAATTAAATATTTAATTCATTTTAAATTTACTTTTAATTTTTTTCTTAATTAATCTTAAAAGGACCCAATTTTTCTTCAAATTGTTATTGTTTATAATAGAATAAATAATTTTTATTTAATTTTAAAAACATATTATTAAAAAATATAAAAACATATATATATATATATGGAGATTTGATTATGAAAATTTTAAGAATTTAAGGTTGAAATTATCAAAATCTTGAACTAGATGAATTACCAAAGTTAAGAACATCCCTTAATTATTATCTAAAATAAAGTTTTCTAATTTCTCTCTTATTATTAGAAAGGTTTAAGATAATTTGACATAAATAAACATGATAGTTCAAATCCAACCATCCTAAACTAATTAGTTTGGGGTGTGTGTGAGTTTATATGAGTTTCATATTAACCCAAATTAATCGATTTTATAGTTAATGGCGTATGTTGTCCTTGCAAAAAACAAAAACCAGATTTATGCATGCATGTGTGTGACTCCACTGAAGCACCTTCATGGGCTCACCAAAGGTGGCCTATCGAGTTTCTCCAGGTAGTAGGTTAAGGCCTCCGGCTCGCGTGGGGCAAACCTCCCTACATCAAGAAGGTTTGGGGTGTATTTTGTGAATTTATATAAGATTCCGCTTTAATCCAAACTAACTGATTTTGAAATTAATGGCATGTCTTATCTTCGAAAAAAACCTCAATCATCTCATAAATTATTATAGGGTTAAATATAAAAATAAATTTTAAATTATACACTTTTTATTAGTTTGAAACATAAAAAAATAAATCTATAAGATTAATACCTAAATTTTCAATCTATTATCACGTTGTCTCTAAAATTAACATCATTAATCAACTTTGTTAATATGGTATGAACTTTCAATAAGATATTGATACGTGTTAAAAATCTAATTAATGTCATTTTATAAATACTACATTAGCAAAAAAAAAATTTGAAAAAAAATTAACAATTCAAAATTTTTTAAAAATTCTTTAAAAAATTTTAAAAATTCTTCAAAATTCCAAAAAGAATTTTTAAAATTTTATAAACAATTTTGAAATTTTTTTGAAAAATTTTAAAAAATTCTAAAACCAATTTAAAAGTTTTTAAAATTTATAAAAATTAAAAAAATGAAATATTTTAAAAATAAAAAATTATGATAATTTTAAAAGTTCAAAAATTGTTAAAAAAATCTAACAAATATAAAAAATAAAAATTTTAATAAAAATTAAATTTCATTAAATTTAAAAAATACAAAAACTTAAAAACCGTGAAAATTTTAAAAAAATTAAATATGTTTTAAAATTAAAAAAATAAAATTTTGGAAAAAATTCTAAAAAATTTTAAATACCTTTTATAAATTAAATAATTTCAAAAATCTAAAACATTCTAAAATTTTTAAAAAATTCTAAAAAATAAAATCTTAAAATCTTAAAATTTCAAAAAATTTAAAAAAAATTGAAAAATTAAACAAATTTATTAATTTTTCAAAAGTTTCACTACATTTTTAGAGTTTTTGAAAAAAAATTATTTTTTTTAATTTAAAAAAAATTTAAAAAGTTTTTAGAATTTTTAAAACTTTTGAAATATTTTAAAAAGTTTTAAAAATTTCTTAGAACCGTTTTAGATTTTTTTTTTAGTTTTTTTTTTGAAATTTTAAGAATTTAGTTAGAAATTTTTTGAATTTTTTGATGATAATATGATACTGATGATATAAAATTGATTGAATTTTTTAACATATATTAATATTTTATTAAATATTCATATCATATTAAAAAATTTGATTAATGATATTAATTTGAAATATTAACGTGAGAACAAAATAAAGTTTAGATATTAATTTGATTGTTTTATATTTTTAAGTATCAAATTAATAAAAAAAATATATAATTCTGATACTAAAAATGACATATTAAAGCTTTCCAAATAAATAGGTTTGAGCCTCCATCTTACGTAAGGCAAGCCTCCCTGTATCGATGAGGTTTGGATATATGTACAAATTTATGTGGGATTTTACGTTAACACAAATTAATCAATTTTAAAATTAATTAGGCGTTCTGTCTTGGAAAAAAAAAATTCAACCATCTCACAAATTATTATATAATATGTTTATGGTTGGAATTTAAAATTTCTATCTAAATCTTTACCTTTTGGCTTGTCCAGAACTAAAGTAAATTCGACCAATGGCTCAAAAAGTCAACCTTGCCTATACAAAAGGGACTCGTGAATCACCAAAAATCCAAGTACCAATTGTAGGTTGTCCAACTCACGAGTCAAGTACACCGTCGTTGACCAAAAAAAAAAAAAAACCCTATAAAAATCCCAAAAATAACTTTTTAATATATTTTTCTTGCAACATAATCATCCACCTTTCAACTTTTTTTTTTTGATACTATAGTCAAAGCATCGTCATGTTTTATTTAAATTTAATCTCTTTTTAAATTGATTAAAAAAATTGCAAATGTAAGATTTAAATTTCAAAAGTAAAGTTAAATGAACTAAAATTTAGATTTTTTTAAAAAATCAATTTTAAAAATTATAATATTTTATATCAATTTGATGTATTTAAATTTTTATTTATAAATTATTTTTTACAAAAATAATCATGATTAAGTAAACTTTTTCATACCAAGTAGATTAATTCTCGTGGATCACTTTTGATCTATTTAATTTCTTACCTAATGTAGCCAACCTAACAAAAGAAAACAAAAAAAAAAAGAAATAATAAAGAAAAATTATTTATTATATTGATAGTAAATTGTTTTAAATTTAAAATAGAGATTAAGATAATAATAAATATTTTATTTTTTAAAATTAATTTTTTAAATATATAAAAAAATGTATTATCATTTTAATTTTATTTATAAAATTTAAAAAAAATCCTATTATCATATATTTGATAATTTTTTGCTAATAAAAGCAAATGCTGTTGGCCATCGACTTTATTTTTGGGTGTACTTTGATGGGCAAAAGGCATTGATTAGGCTGCCAAAGGGTTGGGTTTGGGGGAGAACTGTCTATAGTGGAGGAAAAGAGGCCTAACAAAGGGTGTAATTTTGATGATGATGTGATAAAATACCAAAGGCATATTCTTCAATTCCCCCTTCCAAAAGCTTACAATTTTCAGCACATTTTGGCATGTGGGTCCTCTAATTCCGAGCCAGAAAATAAAAGTTTGAAAGGGAGATCCCACTCTTTGTGGGCGCGGCTAGCAATCCAACATGACTTGTTTTCCTATCCCATTTGCCTACCCTCCAATGAACAAAAAATCTAAATTATGTACATATTTTGCCCTTATCAAGATTTGGCATGAAAAATTAAATCTTCACTGCAATGGTAAATTAAAAAAATTAAGTATAAAAGAATATGTTAGAGAAAATTACTTTAGGGGGTTATAAAAGTAACTTTTATATAGATTTAGGGAGATTTTAAGATTTTTTTTGGTTAAGAGGGTACACCCCTTATAAAAAAAAAAAGAAAAGGAAATTTTGATTCGAAATCAAAATTTTTATATTCTTATAAAACTTACTTAACCATTAAACCAACAAATGGAAAACAAGATTTTGAGAATTTAAACAAGAGAGAAGGGGAGTGAAAGGAAAAAAAAAAAAGATGGAGGACATCTTAAATTAAAATACTTATACCTTATTTTAGAAGAAGATAACAAAAGAAAGGTGGAGATATCCTCTTATTGTATGAAATAATCATTGAAACATGAAATAAACTATGGGGGTGCTATCCACATAGACCTGAACCATATACACATGTTAATAGAATACATTGAATCATATAGGGTACTATATGAAATAATGCATTGAATCATTAAGGAGAGGGAAAAAAATAAAGGAAAACGATTGGACCACCATTTATTAGCTAATTTGGTAAATTAATCTCATGTCTTTAATTAATCCTGTTGAATAATAATAATTTTTTATATAAAAGAGATCGGAGTTTTAAGATAGTGAAATAAATTATAAATATTTAAATTTTATTTTAAAAATTGAAAGCTAAACCATGAGAAAAATTCTATCTTAATAATTCAACCTTACTTTCTAAAAGTCTACCAAATTTCATCCCAATTCATGCTTGACATTATCCCACATCAATTTCAATAGTTTCATATTTGCCTAACTTATCTAATTTGCCATGGAATAAAATTATTCCAAGTTCTAAGAAAAAGCCCATCTACCAAATAAATTTGAATCATATACACATGAAAATAGAATAGATTGTTTGCTTTTAAATTTGTTTATACAAATCAAAAACCCATTTATGTTTATCGTTTTAATTTTTTAATATGATCAAAAAAATATTTTTAAAATTTACTTTAACCTAATTTTTTTGGGAAATGATCTTAAAGGTTTATTAAACATTACCTAATTTGTGCTTGAGATATATTTCTTTCCTGTTTTATTGAAGAGAGTTGAGGTTAAAAAGGTGCAAAGGAGAGTTTAAGAGGAAAAAGAGGTTCTTTGCATGTAGCCGTCCAATTGAAATGAACTAATCTAATTAACAAGGAACGTTCCTTCTCCAGCTTGTAATTTGGTTCAATGTGTAAGATCAAAGACGAGATTCTTTCACTTTCTTAATTCCCAAAAAAGAAAAAAAAGTTGGATTATTGTGTTGGCTTTTGTCGATTTTGAATGCTACCTACACCACCATCTTCAACTTCCTGTATTTGGTAAGGTTCCATGGACTTAGAGCACTATCGGCTTCCTCTTTGGAACCAACTTTGGAAACTTCCTCTTGAGTGCTGCAATGCGCTGACGTGACTCAAGCTAGTGTCCCCACCTCTTCCCCGCAAGAACCCCTCATTGCCGGCCCCTACCTCATATATGCGCAAGTGTTATAGGCCATTATCATCTCTCCGCAAAACCGACTTATTAGGATATGCCATGCCAACGTTTATATGTTCAATGATTTTTTTTTTCTCATTCAACATGGATTAATGCACCATGCTTGTTCCCTTGGAGTGCTTGACATGACACAGGCACATATATTATTTATGGCTTACTAATTTTTTTCTACTGCCTATACGTTGGGTATGTGTTTTTTTGAGAACTTGTGAGGTTGTACCCCTTTCATAGATTGAATGTCCTCCTTTTCCTTTCATATATCAATGTCTTTTCAAGTAAAGGGCTTCCTGTGAAACATAAATTTCATGTGAAAAGAGGTAATCCCTTGTAATGTTGAGTGAAGATGCATTATCATTTGTTTAAAAAATCAACTGAGGTATGCCTAATGCATGCCCTCAAAAACTTGAATTTTGGGCATAATGCATGCTTTTTTTTTTGTCTCAGGAGCAAAGGATTTTCAAGCTGTTCAAAAGAAAGTGGCAGAGTTGATCAAGGGAAGGATTCTCGTGGATTTTCCTTACCTGCTTTGTTGTTTTATTGGTTGTGTGAAGTAGAAAACTGTGCAACCCTTTCAAACTAATATGTATTCTCATTTTTTTCCGGTAGACAATGCCCGTGCAGCCGTGCTGCGATGCTCCTTTACCAGAAAAGCAGAAGAAACACAAGCAGAGAAAGAAACCAAAGTCAGACAGCAACCATGTTCCTTTATATTCCCTAGTACATCTCAGTAGGATCACCTTCATGGGGATTTACAGAATTCATGCCAGGAAGCCTCCGACTCGAAGAAACAAGTTTTAGAAAAAATAAATAATAAAATAAAATAAAGTTTATATTTGATACACTATTAGTATATAAATTTTATGTTAGTGTATAGATTTTATACATTATTAGTATATAAGATAATGTCACTTTATTAATGAATGAATACCAACCTTAAATAAATATAGAAAAATTTAATTTTCTAAAAAAGCTATAATTTGATTCATCTTATTAATGAGATGACATCATTCAATTCATTGATAGTGTATAGAATTTACATACTAATATTATATTAAATATAAATCCATAAAAATAATAAAATGTTTTTTGAATTTGAAGCATAAAAAATATTTTATTTAAAGAGAATTATGTCTTTAAGATACAATAAATATTTAAAACTTTTCAAATAAAAATAGTAAAAATGGTTATACCAAAATATAAATTTATAATGAGTGAACATATATAAATTTTTATTCAAATATTTATAATTTTTTGTATAATTATAACTTTTGTAAATAATAATTTATTTATATTCAAATAATTATGATAATTTATTAAATGATAATTATTTTTGATTAAATATAATTATTTAAAATATAAATAAAATTAATATAAAAATTAATTTTATTAATCAATAATTAAATTTTTTTATCTAATATAAAATGTATTACAGTTTGAACTATCATCAATAAAAATGCAGCATCGGACAATGATTAGCAACAGATGGCTAATCTCTTTAGCTATTATTTATCTGCATTACAATTTCTACAATGACCTATTTTATCAAATTTGTCCCAAAGTTACAGAATCTCTGTCAAGCCTAAAGAAATTATGTTGCTCGAGATTAAAGATATTCATAGGTTAGATATACTGCATGTTGACTTAGGCTTGGTCTGTTCTAATTATTTGGAACTCAAATTTTTTCATATAATAAATCGTACGATTCATGTCTGGCTAAATAAATTTTTTTAAAAATAAAAATAAAAAATAATATTTTTTTTTATTAAAATTTAAAACATAGTTGTTAGTAAAATGTATGCAAAACATGAAGTATGAAAGACATATATTTGAGTATTAATCTTAAATATTATTTTAAATAATATAAATAAAGTTTTTATTTTTAAAATTATATTCATTCGTTAATTTTGTCTACATTTGCCCTTTATTAACTGCTTAAAAAAATAGATTTATTACCGACGAAACTGTAACTATAGAACGCACGGAATCACCTGATTTGGCGACAAAATTAGGGTCAAATCGAACCAACAGAAAAACACTTTTCTTTTTCTAGTTCTGTCAGAATTTCTCAACCGTAGTCAAAACAAAATCTTGTAACTTTCCCACTAACCAAAACCCAAAGCATTAATCAAATTTTTATTTTCAAAGAAAGTCAAAAGAAAAGAAGCCCGCGCAAGAGAGAGTGGGAATAGATGGGTCGGCCTCCGAGTAATGGCGGCCCTGCCTTTCGTTTCACAACAACTGAGGTTTTTATTTTTATTTTTAAGATTTAGAGTTACATTGTGTGCATTGAATATGGATGTTGGATGGGAATGTTTGAATTTTTTTATTTAAATTGTCAAATGGGTTAGTTAGATTGCTTGTTTTATTCAATTTATTTCTGGGTTCTTGATTTAAAGTTGTATGCTGCCTTTGATTTTTTTGATGCATTGGGTTGTTTTGATAGATTGTTTAACAGTTGGTTTAGATATCATTGTTCTTTGTTAATGGTAGTATTAGTTATTGCTAGGATTTATTCTTATGTTTTAAATGTTTAGACTTCTTCAAGGTTTTACCTTTTTTAATCTAAAATTAGGATGGGCTCCAGCAAAGTCTGGGGATACTCCTGACTGTATTACCAAGATAAATATAGTTCTATGCTCATGCTGTTAAAATTGGAAACTTTGATGTGGGGGTTAAATGATAATTCTCAGTAGGTAATTTTCCTGATGGAATTAAAATCAAAAGTTGCCATTTTGGTAAATTCAGATTTTTCTGAGTTTAAGGTGTGGTGCTTTTTTAATAAAAATATGGATGGGAAACATGAGGTTATGAGAATATGCCTCCTCTCTGTATTTACTTCTAAATATGTGAAAAAAGAAAGTGATTGTAAATGGAATTCGGTATAACTATCATTGTCTGTCTGTACGAGGGGCGTTTGATTATGATGCAATGTAATTTTTAATCAGCTGCTTCTTTGGTTATAGATTAAGGTAATAATGAAATTGCTGTGTATGTGAAATAACGTAGTATAGATTTTTTGTTTAGCATCTTTTCTCCTGTGTTTTAATTCTCTAAACAGTGAGTTTGTAAAATAATCTCTGCATCAAGGTTGAGGAGATGGACACTGTTCTCCAAGAGCACCATAATCAAATGCCAGTTCGGGAGATCCTTGTAAGTCTTGCTGAGAAGTTCAGGTGTGCACTAATTTCCTTTAGAACATTATCTAGCATGATGTTTAAATCTTTCCTCCTTATAAGCGCTTGTAACTGTAAGGAAATTTTCTTTGGTTTTAGTGAGTCAGCAGATCGGAAAGGGAAGATAGTTGTGCAATTTAAGCAAGTAAGAACTTGATTTTGTTTTTGTGTAATGAGGACATATTTATGGTCCTTTACTCTGGAAAACATTTGTGTAGGTGTGGAATTGGTTCCAAAATAGGCGCTATGCAATAAGGGCAAAATCAAGTAAGGTTCCTGGGAAGTTGAATATTACATCTATGCCTCGGGATGATTCAGTTCCTGTGAGAAATGTGCCTCAACCTGTTGCTGCTCCCATGCCTCCCCCTATGACTGCTCCAATTTCTGCTGCTATGCCTGCTTCTACTGGTAGAATGGATTCTGATTCTGTCTTTAATGTCCTCCTTTCTTTTTCCTAAATTTGGGGTTACTAATTGGATCCTCCACAGTCCATATAGTTATTTATGTGAGATATTGAATAAGAACGTAATGTGGCACATTGTGTCTGGATGCATTCTTATGTTGTAAATGTTTGTAGTGTTTAGAAAGAAACTAGAGTTCTTGACTTTGAGGCTTCCTGGCCTCCCAATGTTAAACATCGTCTTCATGTCATCACACTTTAGATTAATAGCCCTTATTTTCTGTGCTCAGTTCCGGGTGCAGGAAGGCATATGTCAGAATCTTATATGGAATTCGAAGCTAAATCTTCAAGGGATGGTGCTTGGTAAGTTTGCGATTCAGATTGGAAAGTTAGGAGGCAGATGCTTCCGTTCGCCTTACCTACATTTTGTTACTCTGATAAACAAATAATATGCAATCAACCCAATTCTCATAATATCCTTTTTTCAGGTATGATGTTGCAACTTTTTTGGCCCATAGATATTTGGAGATGGGTGATCCGGTAATTTTTTAGCCCAATTCACTGCATATGCCAGTACAAGTACTTATTTACTGTCACATGAGTTACATAAACTACCAACTAATTACCATCTTCTTATTTCTTATATTTAACTGATCCCGTCTTTCTTTTTAGACCTGAAATTTGTTAGATGGTGAAACTATCAATCATTACATCTTTTTCTGTTTCACTTTCAAATAAAATATATGGTTCTCATCTATAAATTTTATAATGGTTTATGAAGAACTCAAGAATACCACAATTTGTACTACTATTTGCCTTCTAAGAGAAAGATTCTAATATCTTTTTGTCTTTTGCAGGAAGTAGAGGTTCGGTTTGCTGGTTTTGGACCAGAGGAGGATGAGTGGGTTAACATTCGCAAACATGTCAGGCAACGGTCCCTCCCATGTGAAGCATCTGAGTGTGTTGCAGTTCTTCCCGGAGACCTTATACTTTGTTTTCAGGTGGATATCCGTAAAAATTGCAAATCAATGATAACCTGCAAGCAATCCTTAAGAGTATATATTTCTTTAATCAAACCTTTTCTTAGATTTAATTTTCTCAATGCTCTCAAAATTTTCAGGAAGGTAAAGATCAGGCTCTTTACTTTGATGCCCATGCCCTTGATGCGCAAAGGCGGAGGCATGATGTACGAGGTTGTCGTTGTAGATTTTTGGTGCGCTATGATCATGATCAATCCGAGGTATTAGTTAATTACTCAATTACTCAATCATGATCAATCCTATTATGCAGGGAACACTAGACATAAGTGTCGGAGACATCCCCCTCACCACTTTCACACACACCCCACACAAACACTCAACATAAAAATTTTTTTTAAAAAAAAAAACTATCTTGTTAAATGATTACCTATGTAATGGATTGTTAGAGTCTTGTATTTTGATGGATCTCAAGATTTTCACTGTAATAACATTGACTTTTATCCCTTAGGAAATTGTACCTTTAAGGAAGATTTGCCGCCGGCCTGAAACTGATTACAGGTTGCAGCAACTGCATGCCTCCAATAACTCGGCATCCACTGATCAGCAGAAAACTAGCACAGATCCTTCCTCAGTCACTGCACCAAAGGTTGTTAGCTCAACTGAAACAATGCAGAAGCAGCAGAATCCAGATCTACCTAGGACAGCCCCGGTTTCACATCCTAATGTTTCTTTAGCTGCGCAAACTACAAATCCATAATAATAATAATAATAAAAATGCTGGAACCATGACTGACAATGTAACGAATCCTGGAATTTCCCCAAATGGTCCTACATTCACCGGTAGTATAGCAAGTTAACTTTGAAATTTTGTAATTTGTTCTTTCAGCTGTTGGGATATGGTTTTCATTGCTTGCTCCCTATTTACTAGGATGTTGTATATAACGTGGGAATTTTTCAGAAACCTCAGCAACCTTACAACATTGATAATGAAGTCTCAGAATCTGGGTTGAAGTTCAGCACGTTTCTTAAGCTTGTCAGCTATGGGTTGGGAGCAGGTCCCTAGGGCTAATGTCCTTAACTTGAGAACTGGTATGATGATGTCTGACTATTCAGAATTTATCCATTAATTCAGAAGTCAGACTTCATACATCAAACCTAGCCTAATGATCATAAATCATGAGAATCCAATCCTATCACCTATAGCCCTAACCAAGCCCAGGCAATGGCTTCTAATTCCTAATCCCAACTAGCCAATTCCAAGCGAGTGGTCCAAACTTGGACCACCTAATCTTGAACCATGTGGCAAAACATTGACTGGACTCACACATGGCAAAAACTCTTGATTTTGGATCAAAATCCTCTTATACCATATCCCTTCACTTTTGTTTTGACATTACAGTAAGCTTAACCTTGAATTTGGGCATGATTTAGGATGCCAATCATATACTTTAGACCCCAATTTTTTTAGTAAAGAATCTTAACCTCTAAGTTTCAATACTTTTGTCTTGTTCTTGTGTAATTGTTTTGGTCAAAACCCACACTCCTTTTCAAGTAAACCCGCTAACTTCAAAGTGGTAATGATAAATAGTTGTACATGAAATGATTAAAATTAATATTCAACCATTCCCATCAGCATCATTCACCCTAAGTCACGTGCATCCCTTTGGTTTCTCTTCGGTCTTCACCTAGTCCCTCTACCTCCCCTCCCCCCCATGTGCTTCCCCAAATCAAAAGCCCCAATTTTGCCCCAAATATTTTTCACTATTTCCATTCTTTGTCCTTTTTATCCACCATAAAAACGGCTACTTTCTAGGGCAGTTTGGCAAGAAAAAGAAAGAAAGAAAAGATAGCACACACGGATGGTGATTGATATTCCCAAGACACTTTCCCTTACCTTCCTACGTACCCCCCATTTCTCTTTTGTCCAATCCTAGTCTTGTTGTCCACCATTTTATTAGATGATCTGGCCACGTTTTATGATGGTGCAATTTGCAATATGGCAGGGGAAGCCTTCCCTTCCCTTCGATTCACGGTTTCTATTGGCTCATTAGGTTTTCAAGGGCGACAAGAAAATTATCGAAACCAAGAAGAAGAGTTATGGTTGTGGGACTGCATGAACCAAACTCTACTGAGACACAACACATGATCATTTTCTGCAGCCTGAAATCCCTTAAGCTTAGCTTTTATGTGTCAAGACACAACCAAACTTTGCTGAGACTTCACTCTCAGCCTGCCTACCATTTGCGGGAGGTTTCTTGGTCAACTTTTAATGATCCAAAAGAATAAGTTTCCCTAAATTTTCCTAGAAAAAACAGGGTTAAAATAGTCATTTTAACCACTCAAAGAAACTAGATAAATAAAACACACTAACACCCATGTTATGCCGCACGGAACCAGAAAGAAAAGCTTACACTTTGCTAAAGACAAAACAGCATTTCGTCATCTTCCATTAAAAGTTAAAACCCTCTTCTTTCCTTTTCATTTGCTTTCATTTCTCTCTCTCTCTTCCAGTAATCTTTCTTTCTGTAAAAAAAAAAGAAAAAACACCCAAGTTCTTTAGCTTTTCATTTGGGTTTGTTCCTATTTGTAGTCAAATGGTCACATCATAGTAATAAAAAAAATACAAGGTCATGTCACAGTAAACCAAGAATAAGAATAATGGATCCACAGAGACCCCATCGAAGTACTAGCATCAACAACAGTAGCAGTAGCAGCAACACCGCAAGCAGTGAGCTCTTCATCTGTTTCACTTCTCGCCTTTCTTCTTCATCAATGAAAATCTCTTCAAAATCCAGCCTTAGTCCTGGTCGTACTAGGGAGCCTTCACAAATCTCTCTTTCTTCATCCCTAAGTAGGAGATTGAGAACTAATGGTAGTATGAAAGGTGGTCAAGCTTCACCTATGTTCCCTACAAATGGCAAAAAAAGAGGCTGTGCTTTTGAAAACCCTGAACCTTCTTCTCCTAAGGTTACTTGTATAGGACAAGTTAGAGTCAAGACAAAGAAGCAGGGCAAAAAGTTTAGAGCTTGCAGATCTAAAAGAAGAGGGGAAGTTAGTTTCAGAAAGGTGGATCATAACAATTTCAACAATGGAAGCAGCAGTCTTGATACAAGTAGTCGTCAGGATTACAACAGGGGTCATTTCTTGAGCAATAATAGTCATCATCAGCAGCAGCAGCAACAGCAACAAGAATGCAAGAAATGGGTGCATTTGCCAATGACTATTTGTGAAGCGTTGAGGGCATTTGGGGCTGAATTTAACTGCTTTTTGTCTTGCAGGTCTTCTCGTATGGCTAACCAAAGGGACAAAGAAGAGAAAACAGGAGGATCTGGTGGGAATAATGGGAATGGAAATGGGAGTTCTTCTTGTGGGGCTGTTTTTGCAAGATGGCTTGTGGCAGTGCAAGAAGGGGAAGGGAAAGAGAGGGAGATTGAGTTGGTTGTTGGTGGGGAAGAAGATGAGAGAAGGGAAAGCAGTGAGATAATAAGAAGTAGTCAAAGGAGACATGTTTTTGAGGATATTGAAATTAACGATTGTGGTAATGAAATTTTGGGTGATGAAGAAGAAGCTAGGGGGAGTATTTGTATACCACCTAAGAATGCTTTGTTGTTGATGAGGTGTAGATCTGATCCTGTTAAAATGGCTGCTCTTGCTAATAAGTTTTGGGAAACTCCATTGCCTAAAGATGAAAGAAGAAGAAGAAGAAGCTGAAGAGAACGTGGAAGAAAAGGAGTTCCAAGAGGATGCTGTGAAAGTGGAAAGAGAAGAACATCAAGAAGTGAGTGAAGTGAGTGAAATGCTTGTTTCTTGTGAAGCAACTGAGGAACAAGAAATCCCAGAAGCTGAAGCTGAAACAGAAGCAGAATCTGTTTTGGCAGGGGATGAAACTGTAGTAGAAGAAAGTTTGGAAAGAAGCTTAAAAGAAGAAACAATTATAGAATATCAAGATCAAGAACAAGAAACTGAAGTAGAAGAAGAGCAGCAAGAATCAACAATAAAAGAAGAAATTTTGGCAGAAGTTTCATTTGATCTTGAGCAGCTACAGGCTGAAGAAAACGCACCAGAAATGGAACAAGAAAATGAAGATGGCCTTGAAGAACAAGTGCAACAAGAAGAAGAAGAAGAAGCAGAAGCAGAAGAAGTGGACGAGGGTTCAACTTCAACAATGGGGGAGAAAGAAACTGAGACAACCCAAGAAATATCCGAACTTGAATGCGCAGATACCCGACAATCCAAAATGGAAGATGAGTCAAAGGAGAATGAAAGTCAGCATAACTTATTGCCAGATTGTTTGCTGTTAATGATGTGTGAGCCAAAGCTGTCAATGGAGGTATCCAGGGAGACTTGGGTGTGTAGCACAGATTTCATCAGGTGGGTACCAGAGAAGAAAAAACAACCAGTGGTCAAACCAAAGGACGGTCGAGATGAGCCCAAAGGAAGAATCAGCATTGACTCTAATCCTGCGCCAATTTTGTTTCAGCCTCCTAGGTCTTCTTGCTCTTTCCCGGCTGCTCCACCGAAGGCTACGGCGGCTGCAGCTAATGGAGCTGGCGGTGGTGGGTCTATGACTACCATGATTGAGCAGAAGCTTGTTGGAGGTAGAGGGTGTAAGCCTTTTATGCTCACGCGCTGCAAGTCAGAGCCAATGAGGTCATCAACTAAGCTCACACCCGATGGCTTTTGGAAGAATAGGAAGCTCGAGCCGACTACACTTGGAGTTGGGGCAGCTGGAGTTGGTTTTTGACGAGCCGTGTTTGGTAAAAACGCAGTGAAAGGTTAAAAATATTTGCTATAACTGGTAAATTCAGGAGTAAGTGTAGTTTTTGGTCCTTTTTGGGTAGTAAAAATATCCTTGTGGTTGTTTTTTTTTTTTCAGCTCTAGCTTTGTCTGTAAATCATTTTTATTTGAAGCAATTTTTTTGGTTTTTTTCCCTTATTTCAGGTCTATTAAAACTGTAAAAGCTGTAAAACAGTTATTTAGCACTCATTGTTTTTTCAGTTTAGGGTAACTTTTCAGGGGTAGCACGGTAAAATATGTGATTTTGATTTCTGATCTTTCTTATGCATGATTTATTGACGTTTGACAAGCTGATGATGATAGGATTAAACAATAGCATGTTACCAATGGGCTGGCGAAGGGTCCACCAAAGGTCAATTTTGAGCCGGCTGGGACAATGAAAACAATGGGCAAGGCAAATGATTTGATGGGAACAAAATTATTAAATGGTTTGGTTTTATGGATGTTTTTAGGTCTAAATAAATTCAGGGTTGGAGGAAGAAATTGTCAAATTGGTCTAATTTTTGGCGGATAAGAATTTGAAAAAGTCATTTTGAGTTGATGAACTTAACTTTGATTTCTTACTTATTCATGATTAGTTATCATGGCAGCTAGGAAATTACTTGAATTTTCACCTCAGAAGCACATGATTTCCTATCATGAACCAGAACATATCAAACAATTGTCCCAACATGGCATCATGGTTTAGTAAATCTTTGTTTTATGCATATGAAGATGTGAAATTCAAATCTTTATCATTTGCAGTATTTTTTCTGACTTCCACTTTGTTTAAAAAAAAAATTTCACAATTCCAAAGGTCAATCATACCAAGCAATGTAAGCATCAAGTTTCAAGACAACAAAATTAGTGCTATCTTTTTATTTTTTTTATTTTTTATTTTTTAACAGAGTTTTTCAGCCTTTCCCAGACCAAGTTTTTCTTCCACCGTAGCCTCAACTTTGTTATTCTTTTTAAGATGAGGACAAGCACAAAAAGTGAAAATAAAGAAAACCCAAAAAGATGTTTGCCAAAGTGGGATTGTGTGGGTTTTTTGTTATTTCATTTTGTGCACTTTCTGTTGGCCTTATTGCATGTTTGCATTTGAGCAAGACATTGTGGCCTCTAAAAGATTCACTCTGGCAAGAAAATCCCATATCAATGTTTGTTGCTTCAGTGATTGTGGTGCTGCTTTTGCATATGCTTGACAGAAATGTGACTCCATTGCATAAGTTTGAACCAACCAATTACCAAAACCTGTTTATGAAGATCAATGAGGTGTTCTCTGCAGTACCAAAAAGATCAGATGCAGATGAAGGCCAATCCAGGTGCTCTATGATTAGTTATCCTTGCCAGTATCATGGACAACAAAGCTATAGTCAGAAAGTAATTTCAAAAACAACAATCCAAAATGAAGCAGCAAACCATTAAGGAAAAAAAGTAGGTTACTCCATTTTTCTATGTTGAATTGATTTCTGCAGAACTTCCAGCTTCAAAAGCAGCGGTTCCTCATATTAATGTTTCAAAGTTGTCTAGGAATCTTCATGGCTTACAAGAACAAAATCATGGGAAACTGCTGCATTTGCTAATCTGCATAGCCATAAGGATCAAAGCTGGCAATCTTTTTATCTTTGTTTGAATATTGTGTATATTAAACAACTATCTGCAGTAGCAGTTATGAAGTGCATCACATTTTACAATCAACAACAACAAACAAAACTTTTCCCACTACGAGGGGTCTGCTTCATGGATTATACCACTCCATTACTCTTTTTCAGGTGTCCTGAAATTACAGTTTATAGCCATAAGGTAATAGCTGCCTGGAGGAGTGAATGCATACGAATAAAAAACAGAAGGTTGTGAATGTGAAACAGCATAACTATCAAGAAAGGATGGTCATAAATATGAAACAATGTAACAATGCATTTAGATTTCCTCTTTGTAAATGAGTTAAAAATACAAAAGCCTATTTCTTCCACTATACTGTTGATTATCTCTACCAATATTGTTTACCATCTCGACTCTGATCCTCCCTCACCCGGCTACTGGTCAATTCGGCCCCCTCTACACCATTTCTTTCACCGAACTTAGTGAGCCCACGTTCAACTCACCTTTACTCTCATTTTCTTTACTCATGGAACCGTCCATGAAGGAATTTATGGCAAGTTGACCAGAATAAAGGAATAAGCCAAGACAATTGATGCCAAAAACAAATGTTGCAAGGTAGCACAATCCATTCACAATAGTCCTGCAAACAAGCATATAAAGGATGAGAACCACAAAGATTTACAGCCAGGAGCATGAAATGAAGTACTAGCAGGAGCTGCCTGATAGTTACCGTTATCTGATGAACCTGAAAAGCATAAAGATGAAAAATGTTTGAGAAAAAATGAAACTGTTTAATTAAATACTCTGAAACAGGAAATGGCACCATATACTACATAAGAGATACCGTATGAGGTCTTTCACAGTCCATACTGATTAATTGTCAAAAAATGAAACCCTAGAATTTTGTAACCGAATATTGTTTTTCCAACAAGGCATCATGAAGAGTGTAAAGTGCAGATGTTGTCTACTACCAGGGAACTTCATTAAGTGCTTAAAAAAACATTAAGGTATGTTTCCCTATTCAAAGTGAATCACCTCACCTTGTTTTACCAAGCAAAATATATATTTTATATGTGCTAGCTATAGTCACCCATGAAAGATCACATCAAAAGCTACATCAAACGGACTTGATGATATTCTTATTCACATGGGAGACACATGAAATCACCATCCTTTATACTTCATGAGCATTGTAATAGTTTTTCCATTCAGTCAAGAATATTGTGGACAGCAGTACAAAATATCTAAGTTGTCCTTACACGATAAATCCGAAAAGGAGGTTGCAATTGCAATCCCTTCCTTGCCAACAAGCCAACATACGCAAATGCAAAGAAGCCAGGTATGTTTGTAGGTCACTACTCACCAACTCAAAGAATTAAGCAACTAAAACAAATAAGAAATATTAAATGCAGGAACAGATAAGGACAATGAAAGGACAAACCGAGAAATTATCAGAAACTGTCTGGCGGTTAAGAGCTGCCTCAATAGTAGTGGTGAACTTATAAAGAATAAGGGCAATGACACCCGCAGCTATGCTTCCCAACAATGCCTGAACTGGTGAGGGTGTGGACGACTTAGTTTCAATTGAAACTGACCCTATTGCTTTCAAGCTATCTGGTGCGTCTTCCTTCAACGATTTCTTTGTCCCTGATAGACCTCAATCTCTACAGACAGCAAAGCTATTTTCTTTAATATTCAACAAAAGTCATAATAAGACATTTGAAAAAAGAAAAAAAAAAGAAAACAACTGGAGAATGACCAACTCTTTTAAAGCTTTCATGGCACAAAATTAACAAACAAAACAGAACAGTGAAACCCAATTATCAATAAAGTTTTTAACTTTAATAGGAGATTGAAACCCAGTTCTTCAACTTAAAAATTTGACAAAAGCTCCAAAGCAGAGAGGAAAAGTATTCTTTACAGGTAACCGGATACTCACAAGCTCTTTAGCATGCTTAGCACGGCGTCTAAGGGACCGAAACAGGAAGAACCCAATGGCAACAGAGAGCAAAACACTGGTGGCAGTTTGGAGAGGAGTGGGGTCATCATTTTGTAGCAAATATTGAAGAAGAAGTAGAAGATGGTGGCAACTCAATTGGACCCTCTTCTTCTACTGCTTCTGCTATGGTGGTGAAGGGTTCTCGAGCTTGAGCTAACAATGGCCCAAGGTTGACTTTGGAGTGGGCAAAGAAAGGGGAGAAAAAAAGTGCGTTTTTGAAGAAGAAAGAGTGGAGAAGAAGATGGGTGGTGGAGGGGAGGGAGAGAGGGAGGGGAAGGGGGGAAAAGGAGATGGAGAGATTGAAGCATTTGCAGTATTACTTTGTAGTGGGAAGTGAAATGAAACTCAACTGTTGAAGCTAGATTTGTCGTGCGGCCCGTCGATCCCGAAAGTCCGAGGTTTGCAAATGAATATTAAATTTTTATAAATAACTTTAAATAAATAAATGAGATTTAATAAAAATATTTAAATTTCATTATTTAAGGTTAAAGTTCAAATTATTTGATCTAAAATTTAAAAATTATTTTTTATTATAAAAGAAATATATTTTATTTATTTTATTTTTTATAATGAATAAGATTCATTTATTTTATTTTTTATAATACAATAATTATTTTTTTTTACAAAATGATGATTCATTTTTAAATTGGATTTAATAAAATTAAATTAAACTCAAATTCAAATAATTTATAAATTTAATTAAATTTAATTAAATTAATAATTTATAAAAAATAAAAAAATATTTTTAAAATTTTAAATATTAATGTTTGAATGAATTTAAATTTTATTATTATATGTAAAAATGAACTTAAACAAAAAATTAAAATTAAAATATCAAATCGGACCAAGCTTAACCTTATTTAAAATTTTGTAATATCATATCAGATCCTATTCAAACCCAATGAGCAGGTCTAATTGAACTGTGTAAAATATCTGTTGGATATTGTCGCTGTTTGTCTTGGATCCCAGGTTGAAAGTGTTCTGTTTCATCTCTAACTCCCAAAGATTTTTCTTTTTTTTCCTTTGATTTTAATAATAGAAAATTCTCTCATTAATTTTTTTTATTTTTCTTTTAATGGAAAATCATAAGTGAAAAATGAAAAAAATATGAAATTTTTATTAATTTCATGTATTGGTAAAATGTGTATATATATATATATATATACTTTTTTTTTGGTGATTAACAGAATGAAATGAATGTTTGAAGGATAACGGTAAATGGTAGTTACTTTTATGTAAATTTGATAATTTTAGGCATGATACGAAATTAAAATGATAAGAAAATATTGGCAGTGCTCAAAATAGTTTGACACAGTCACATTGATTATTTGGAATATTAGGAGTCTTGAATGGAAACTTTGGGGCTTTTCATCTTTTGAGAACAAGATGAATTTTTCACTTTCTTTCATTTTTTTTCATATTGGAGTAACAAGAGTATATTCAACATTGCTTCCATCTATCAGCATTAAAAACATAACATAGTTGTCATACTAAACAAAACATACTGCATTACTTTTGGTTTTAGTAAAACCTATTAACCACCCAAACTACATTTACCATTCACAAAGTGAGCGGTAATAGCAGAAGTATCAGGTTACCAGAAAATTAGATGAAACCACCCACCACAGCTTTTGAAAACTCTGAAGCTACTCTTTTTCTATAGATTTATAGTGCTATAAAACTTTTGTCACTCCTCAAGCACATTCACTAACTCGTATTCAACTAGAGAGAGATTGTTATCCTCCTTGACTATGAATTTTGCAGGCTCGGTGACCTCAACACGCCCCCATTTGTCAACTGCTAGCCTCATTGATCCCTTAAACATGTCAATCTTTGCATTCCGGAGAATAACAGTGGCACCGGGCTTCATCAGGTCAACTGAGCATAAATAATGTTGTCAATATAAAAAAGAAGACTACAATTAGGCGAAATATATAAACCTTAGGTTATATATGTATGCTATGACATTTCGAGACATATAGATCACTTTGCACAATGCTTTTATATTAACTTCTAAACAATCAAGATGGAATATGTGAAAATTTATCCTTACAAAAAATATGAACCTGGCTATAGGTTTGATAACAATTCAAACTGTCATTACAGTATAGTGGGCCAGATTCCATATATGTGTATATATGCGTGCTTATACATATATAACTTTAGATCAGCAGAAGTTAAAACTAGCAGAGTGGGATTGTAAATGAAATTTCGGATTTATATCAATCACATTCATAAGTCTTTCCTTGCAGAATGCCGATGAAAGTAACTGAACAACTAAATCACCAAAGGCCACAAAGTATTGACAATCCGGTTTTAAAAGTAATATTACAATGCAACCACAATCTAGTGTAGCAAATTAATGTTACGAAGAAAATAAAAACTGACGCCACAAGGCTGATTCTTAGCCCAATATCATGTATCAAGTGCAACAGTTGCATCAAGTAGCATTAAAAATTTCCTCAGTAAGTCAGTAGATAGCATTAAAGCCTAAAGGCCTTCAAAACATAAGGATAATGGATGTTCATCTGTAAATAAACAAATATCTACCTTCATCTTTTATTCTACCTTTAAGTGTTTTAAAGCAGGATGACAGATAATTATCATAATTTATTTCCAGGACAGAGAGCCTGGAAAAGGCTTAGACAGAATTAATCCTGATTGAGAAAACATAAAAACAAAGAAACAGAAACAACTGCTAGATTCAATGTCTGCACTTGTCGACAATAACAAATACAACAACTTGCAGCCTTAAGTTTTCTCAACAGTTAGGATGCTAGTGCACCTGACTTTGGAAACAGAGTTACCAATCTACCTTAAGTCTTTAACATCTTCTGTAATCACAATTAACAAACTATTCACATTAAAGAAGGGTTGATAGGGGCTGAACTTTGAGTGGTCACCTTAAAAATATGGATTAAACAAAATTCTATAATCATATGTAACGCCATCCAAATCCCACATTGGAAGAATGTGTGGATTAAGAATGATATATATATAGAGATCTAAACCCAAACTTGTGAAAAGTCTTTTGTGAGACAAAATCATAAGATTTTCGAGTCAAAGTGGACAATACCTTGCAAGTTGGGTGCTGGCTCCACATCATAGAAGTCTTTTTTTCTCTTAATTAATTCAGAGTTAAAACAAATGATATTACAATTTCACAACTATTAGAAACCTCATTCCATTCTAATCAAAATTACTAACCATTTCTATTGTAATTTCCTCATTTACCCATCTCAAAAAGCACAACACCAAGAGGTAACAACCCATACTCCCTTTCTTTATCTCACTTTTTTATCCTTGTTCTCACCAAACATACACAACCATGTGCACACACAGGTGCTTCAAAAATTAAAGCACCAAAAGTCAAAGCTTTCATTTCGATTTCCAATCATCTCCGTTGCCATCCATATTTTATTCTCTCTTACACCCCCATTCTGGCATAATGTACATGAAACCAAAATAAAACAAAAACATCAACAATTTTGATGTCCCCAAAACTTTCAAGCCATCATCCCCTCATTCCCCATCTAACCCCATCAACTTTCCATTTTCCCCCACCAAACAAACAAAATCCATCCAAAACCTACATAAAAAGCCATCATTTCTATAAATTCAAATGCAAAAATATCACATTTCATAAAAAAAAAGAAGATATTCATTGGAAAAAAAAAAAACCACCTTTTTACATAAGCTCAAATATGAAGGTATCAAATTTAGCAAAAATACTCACATAAAACACATATTCATTGAAAACCCACATTGAAAAACACATATAAACACCAATAAACAATCGTTTTCTTACATCAACTGAAATAAAAAGGCATCAAATTTAATATCCAAAAAATTTAAAGATACCTTGATCATTACGAGCTGTGAAGACTATGGAACCAGTTTCATCCCCAATAAGACACTCAGCGATGCGGGTCTGGCGGAGATGTTGGGAAACAGACCGACCCTTTTGTAAGACAACGTTGGAAGAGAGCACTTTGACAATCAAAGTGTGGCCGCTTGTCCCAGGTTTCAGTTGCTCCACTTTGGTGAACACTGGCTTCCTTAGCCCTGGTTTCGCTGCCGGTGCTGCATTCCTCTGTTGGGTTGCCATTGGAGATAGAGAAAGCAAAGAAAAGGAAAAAGAGAGAGAACCCCTAGGTTTTGAAGGGGAAAATGAGAGATTTTTTTATCAAAATTTTCCTTTTTCCTTTTTCTCTTTTCCTCTTCTCTTTTCTTTCATTTTTTTTTCTTTTCTTATATTTCTTTGTAATTTTAGAAATGAAACTAATTTATTAATTTTATTTGGATAATAAAAAAGTAATGAAAATGTGCTTAATTAAGTAAAAATTAATTATCATAAATTATATATATAAATTATATTTTTACAAATAATTATGTGATTTATTGATGAAATATTTAAATTTTAATTTAAAAATTAAAAAATTAAATAATTTTTATTAAAAAATGGAACTTTGCGCTTGTATTAATTACTTTGGGTGGGAGTAGGACAATGTTACAATATTTTTTAATATTTTTTCTACAAAAATTTCTCTATTTTCAATTTAATTGATTATTTATATTTTATCATTCCCATTTATTTTTATACAATCTCAAATTTTTATCTTTTACAATTAAAAATTAAATGTTCACTTTTATGTGTTAGTGCACAATTGCACATAAAAAAAAATTATCTTAAGTAAACCTTTTTAACACACATAAATAACAAAAATTGGTATAATTTATAATTATTAATTCAATGAAAATGTTGCCTTTTGAATCATAATTTTCTTTATCTTTTAAGGTTCCTCAATGTCAAATTACACTTTGACAATTGTTTTCTACCCCAAAGAAAATTATGTAATTTCTCATGCAACTATGGCAAGATTGAGCTATTGGCTCCATTAGTAGTAGAAAAAGGGTTGCTTTTCCTCCCCCAAAGCAAAATATTGGCCCCTTTTCTCCATTAGTAGAACAAGTAAAAAACTGCAAATAAATTAATAGACAGAATCATATGCTTTTCTTAGTGGATGGTGTAAAGCAAAGTATAATTCCTTGACTCCTACTTTAAATTTCCTTCATGTGGTTGTAAATAAGAGATAAAAAATCAAGTTTTTTGTGAGTTATTTAGGTTCAACTCATTTATTGTCAAATTGAATTTAAGTTTGAATTATTTCGATAATTAATCGAACACGATTTTGAGTATTTTATTACTCAACTTAAAAGATTCACAAGCCTAATTGTCCTTTATATTTTTAATATATAAAATAAATATAAAAATATAATATTTAATGTCAACATTTATAAACTCAGCTTTATCTCTGAATTTGAGAATTTTCCTTCATAATCTGATAATATTTCAGCAACCAGTGAGTCCAATACTGTTATAAACTAAATTGCAATGCTACCAATAACATTGCTTGTGATCCTACAAATCATCTGAAGGCATAGCAACCAATTGTGAGGTTTTATAGTTTCTAACACTTTATCATTTTCAAATCAGCTAGACGTTCAAGTTACCGTGAGGAGAAGAACACCAAATCACTAGAGTCTAAACTGAAAAAGTCAAATTAAAGCAATAGCACATCAACCACATGTCGTACTCACACCAATGAAATACAATCAAATTTTATATCTCACAATATGTGAAACCAAATTAGAAGCTTTCCTAGGATTGGATGAACTATAATCGATCTCTTTATGAAGAAGAGCAGACGTGATTCTACACTGGGCATCTTCACCTGAATGTTTTTTTTAAAAAAAAGGTAAATATGTTAATGGAACTAGTTGACATTCCAATGGAACTAGATTCACATGTCAGTATTCACAAAAAGTAGAAAATGATGCAAAATCGGAGGAGAGTATATTAATATTTGAAGATCCTTTATATAATCAAGGCCAAAGGCATCAATCCTTTTCTGACATAACTTGAAAGAAAGAAAAAAAATAAAAAAAAACGTGAACTACATTGATCTCTGTTCTTTTAAGTTGTTATCAGTGTACATAAAGTTGTAAGAACCCAAAGTTTAGTTTAATTAGTTCATGGAATCAGTCTGACGGTATTTAGCAAGTTTGAAGTTCAAATTTTAGTACACGTAACTCTTTCCCTTATCCCCGTCTGCGGCAAAGCCATCCTTTCTTTTTTCTCTAGAAAGGTAAATAATGTATGTATTCACTGAAGGTATCAGGCAAACTAACAAACAACAAAACCAGGACAACAAATTATACGCTCACAACGACATCACTAGCATAGGAAGTTCGAAAAAAATCAACTATCTAATGACAGTAATGGAATGTATTAAACAGCTAACGGAATATCCAACAAATACTCAATTGACAAACCAGAAAACAAGATCAAAAGTCTCACAGAATTGCAGCTTGTCAGCTTCCTTCTCCATTAAAACTTGCTAACCAGAAACAACATATTTTACTTCTTCATTGCCAATTAAGGAGGTCCAAATCACCTCCAGGAAAATTATAATAACAAGAAAAGCCCCCATACGAGACAAAAACAGATGATAAGAAACAAAAGCTTTGTTTTGACCATCATTTCTGTTTCAACCTCAAGAAGCAAGTCCCCTTAGCTCATCAGCTTTGTTGGCTCTTGGTCTGGAGTTAATTACCATCATGCACCAAGGGGACTTTGCTAATTAAAAATTAGTATTTAAATATAAAAAAATTAGTTTTAATTACAAACAACTAGAACTTTCTAAAACAAATATTATAAAAGTACCTGAGAATGATGAGTATTGGTCATTGCCATCTTGAAATGTGATAGAAGGAACATGTTGGACCTTGTAGAAATCGTCTCCTCCTTCCACCAGTTTATCCTCGAATGCCTTCGGCATTGATTCAATCTTCAGTTCTTGGAGGGTTGTAATGAAACTCAATCCATCTGGAACCATCTTCATATTTCTGCAATCTGCAATCTCCAAACACCGTAGATTAGGCATGGCTCCTTCATCCACCTTCAGCTCCTCCAAATTTCGAAGCTCCTGAAGGCTTAGAGAATGGAGTCTAGGAAAACCTAGTGCAGAGCAAGTCATTTTCTCTCCAAGGAAGGATCGACAACATAATTGAAGAATTCCTAAGTTAGGGAGCTTCTCTATTGTTGGCATTGGATCTTCATCAAGATTAGTACCGGATAAGGAAATGTAAGTAATATCTTGAGAGAAGTGGTGGTACTCTGGTAACTTCCCTATATACACGTCCAACTTCAACTTACAAATACAAACACAGCTGGAAAGGAGGTGTGCCAAATGTCTTGCATCTATTGTATCATTACTGAAAATAGATAAGGACCGAAGACATTTACTTCCTAAGATGGGAGAATTGTCCACATCCTCCTTAAAATCTTCAATATCGAAGTGCCCATGAATCTTCAAGTCTCTAAGATTTGTCATGCTGAAGAGATCTTTTACATAACAACTCCTGGTGTCGAAGTTAACAAGTGTTTGAAGGTTTCTCAAAGTACCCAACTTCAACTTTGGTTTCCTTTTACAGGACTCAGGAAGATACAGATGTCTTAATTGCTCCATCCTCCATATCACATTAGGTACACAAACATTGACAATACCTCTTAAATCCAAGGTTTGCAAGCACCTTAAATTGCCCAGAGACGATGGAACCCTCATGCTCCAGATCCAAAGATTACTTAGACGCAAGAATCTCAAATGAATGAGATTACCTATATCACTAGGAAGGTCGCATCCCGCATAATTACGTTCCCCTTCAAAGTCTAGTACTCTAAGCAATTTGAAATTGTTGAAAATGTATGTCCAAATTCCCCATAATTCAGATAAGATTGGGGCTCCCAGCAATGGATTATTGTCACATACTATGCAATGATTTGTACTGACATGGTTTATAACGTAATTTAGCAACTTCTTTGGTGAAGAATTTGTAAGTAACTCATATAGAGAAATGTCTATGAAGAAGAAAGCTGATCGAAGACAGGGATTTCTTATGCATTTTATGCAAAAAAAAGAATTTGTAACAACTCTACGGGCACTCAGTGTAGACAAGTAAAAATTGTTGCCACTTTGATCTACATTTGGATGATCAATAATACAGAGAAGATTTTCCATTTTTGCCTTTGAGAGGCAGAGATCCCTCATGAGGTCATGCATGCGACAAGTTTCAATATATAAGGTTGCATCTCTTTTACCAATTTGAATCATGTATCTTTCTACAAGCTCAAATAAGTACCTTTCTGCTACATCCTCTTCAACTACCCCTTGATTTATTTCATTTTGATTCAATGAACTAAAACCTTCTGCCACCCATAATTGAATCAATCGCTCTGCAGGTATCTCATAATCTTCAGGGAAATGGCTTAAATAAAGGAAACATGGTTTCAAATAGTGTGGCAGTTCATCGTAACTTAAGGCCAACACTTCCTCAACCCCTTGGCCTTTTATTCTCGACTTGACACTTGCATGCACCTTGTTCCATTCATTGAATGAAAACTTTGTAACCAAAATTCCTCCTAACACAATGATGGCCAGCGGCAACCCTGCACAATGTCTAAGCATACCCTTCCCTAACTCTTCCATTCTTGAGTCAACTCTACAGTCTGTAAAAACAATATAAAATAACATAAACGAAATCATCATCATTGCATATATCTTTCAAAATAAGATTACTTTAATGGATAGCTATTAAAAGAAAGTGTTAAATAGGCCTTGTAGAAAGTGAGATAGTTATTAATTACCAACACGCAATTAGCATTTTTAACTAGAATCGTGTCCATGCATTCCAACCATTTCAACTAAGTTAAGGTAAAGCGCTAATGAAAAGTGTCTAGAATTTGCTAAAAATGTCTAGCAAAAAATATGCAGGCTTGTGATTTCTAATTTGGTTTTGTGTTTCCTACATTATGATATATTCTAAAGCATAATAATTTAGGAATCTGAAACTTAACTCCATTCATACAGTTATTTATAAAAAAAATAGTAGTTAGTGGGAGTCAGGTTCAAATTTTAACACCCGTCCCTATCTTTATATTGCAACTAATATTGTAAAAAAGAAACATAATAATTTATACTATTTTTTAAATTAAAGGTAATGCAACCAAAACATTTACAAGAGCTTATTGCAACCAAAACACTTGTGCACCACCTATATAAAAATACTCAAATCGATAATATAATTAACAAGGATATCAAGATTCAAATCCTCTAACTACTATAAAGCTAACAGTGTATTCTTTTTTACTGAAGCTTGCTTTAATAGGTTATATTCCGTCATAT